AGTTTCTCAGTACACCTGGATACCACGCTTCGAGGCAGAGTAGACTTACACTCTTTGGTGTCACCCTCCCGCTCTTGGCGCGCGGTCTTCATCTCAAGAAGCTCCTTCGGGACTAATCACAAAGTGAGAACCATATTTTCCTCGATCCTGAAATCAAAATACGTACATTCAAACTTTGCATCGGCAACCCGCGTCTCCATCGCCACGCCCTGGAAAAATCCGACCGAGTAACGCGTCCCTTGCGTCGGCGACACCACGCGGTGCATGGGGGCCTTCACCAGCCTATGCGTGACCTTTTCCAACACTGCGCAAGAAACCGTGTTAAATGGCGCAGAAACACAAATCTTCTCGCACCTCTTCCAACAAGGACTAAGAATGTTCCTGGGATAGGCGGAGCGGCGAACCACTCTCCGGAGGGCTTCTGAATCTCGAGTCCCGGTTCATTGGACGGTTGCAGCAGCTGGAGACCCACAAGAAGATTAGTGCTCCAACCGGATAACAACCCTCTGCGCACTCACATATGTCAGGAAGTTCGAGTCGGTGTGCGGTAAGAACCCAGTCGTGGACGGAGGACAGGTGGGGTAGCGCAGAATCTTGCAGCGCCACTGGCGCTTGGAGACGTCAGCCTCAAACAGCGGCTCAAACGCATCTGGTGCGAGACCCAGCGCCTCCGCGGCATGGCCCGTAAATTGGAGGCTCAGGTTTTTGAGATGCGTGTAATACTCGGCCATCGCCGCACGGCACCCTGGAAATAAAGCGTCGTCTGGCCACTAGGAGCCGCAATCAGCTGTGACAAGAAATGATCCAATGTAAGTGCACTCACAGGCGTGCTTCCGTGAATCTTGTGGTACTCTGGCGTGCCCTCCTCATGGGACACACTCTCGTCGCCATAATTAAATTGCTCGCGCGTGGGGTTTTCGGCGCTGCCTCTGCGCAGGTACCCATTAAAATGCGCGGAGACGTTCATGTCGACTGTGTCCTTCACATCGGCCGGCAGCGCAAAGAACTTGGCGGTGGAGTCGACCATCTTGTCGACGACTTCCGTGGGCACGGGGGTCTGCGCCAAGTAGACAAACCCGTCGTTAATCAGCATATCGCGCAGCTGCGCGATGAACGCGGGCTTGTCCCGCTGCGCGAGGGTCAAGTCAAGGAGTCGGATCTCTGGATGGGCGAGCGACATGGTGGGGGTTGGTGGACAAGGATGACGCGATGATGTCTCTCTCTTATTACTGTTATCTGATTCCAATTGTGAGCATCTTGTTCGCGCGTGTTTCGGGTGTTTCGGGACCTTCCTCACATCCATATCAACCGGATGACGTGGATTGGGATCTTGGGAACTTTCTTGACCTGGGGGGAGGATTTGGTCGAAAAGTACGTGGTCTTGCGAACTTTCGCCCTTTTTGGTTTGTCCATGCTTAAACGACGGGCCGTGCAAAACAAATTGAATTGTGCAATTCGGCGCGGCTGGGAGCGGGACTTGAATCCGTGAGACGGTCAGATGATCACAGTCCCAATCGGACAACGACCGTTTGATGATTGCGAAAAGCATCGGCTGCGGCGATGTGTTTCGCGGCCAGGGTCTTGGCAAGCCGGATCTACCTCGATTTCCCCCACGCTGAATACGCGCCAAGATTCTCGGCGGTCGAAACTGAATGAGTATTGCTGTTGGATGTGAGGGGGTAAAAAGGATTTTTAGGGTCTATGGAAAAAGAGGGGGCGCGCACTGGAACAAATAGAAGAATGAGAGTATTTATCTTCCCGTCGGCGAAACGTAGACTCCCAGGTTCGGTGCGTGCCTGAGAATCTCGGGGTGGCGTGGGGCGAGCTAAAGATGATTCGCACAGTCGGAGAAGAATGACAAAAAGGCATGCGATACAATATGCGCAATGAGCCAACACGGACCCGTGGCGACGCAAATGAAACTCGCTGTACCTCCATTGTACTGGGCGAAAAAATTCCCGGCATCCAAAATACATGAGTGGACACTCAATCTTCATCCATGTTCACGCATGGGCATGCGTGATCGTGCATGACCAAATATTGTAGGGCGCGAGCCGGATTGTGTGACTGGCAGAGCGGAGGTTGGGGATGTAGTGACAATGGTCAGATATACGGCCGTCTTCAAGTCAAGCAAGTCCGCCCAGTATAGATAATGAAAGAGGAGTTATTTTTTTGCTCGACTGTACCCCGCGGGGGGTCCCCGCCGATGGGGATTGTTCGTTCAACGCAGAAGTGAGGAAAGGAAAGACGCCTGTGGCTGTGTGATGTGCGGGTGCAGTTGGCTCGGCACACATCATTTCCCACGTTGTCGTCGCCGTCCTTTCAAGTTGCTTTCTTGCTCATTCCTGCCACCTATATAGCTAACACCTAGCTCATCTGTGTCTTACGCGAACTTTGCGGACCTCTCGTTGGTCATTTATCCATCCCTGAATATTCGATTGTCCTCGTCAACCTGGCCCGCATTTCCCAAGGTCGTCGCAGGCTTTTCATCTCCTTGGACCTGAGTCTGGACCCTCGGTCTTGATCTGTTTGCGCCGGGTCCGCACGCGCGACCGTTGGGTATACGTTACCAAATGAATCCGCACCAACAGAAAAGAAACAAAAACTCGTATTATAATACAATCAACGTACTATCTACCTCGGCGCACTAGCGAAAATTCGGTGAACCCTGGCTGTTGTAAGGCCTTTTGTGATTCCCAATTGCTCCCTGGCCTTCATCGAAATAGACGGCATAAAACATTCACTGGTGTCACAGGAATACGGCGCCATTTGGACGACCGTTCAATCGCCTTCCTTCAACGGGCTAGGATGTGTCATGACAACATAGAGCGCCAAACTCCAGCAGCTACACCCTGAGGCGGAATCGCCGCATTCTGACCTGAGACTGATGTTCTCTCCAAAAGATCGACGGTGTGTTGGTTGCATTTTACCCTGACCGTGATCCGTTCGCTCTTAATGATTCGCGGCACACATTCGCCGTAGATATCAACTGCTTCATGCATCAGAGTTGAGTTATACAGTAGCTGGTGTTCATTATTTTATCGAGAATGAGTTGATGCAGCAGACCCGGGTTCGATTCCCAGCGCCCGCATACAGTAGGAGAACTTTTTTTTTTGCCCCTCGTTCTGTCCAACTTTTCTTGTGCAGCCAAATTTCAACGTATGGAAGAGCAAGCACTCTTCGATGTTGTGGTATGAGATTTTAAGGGACTGTTGAAATTCAAGTACCATTCGGGGATTTGGAGTTCAAATAGGCTCCGACATTCAGGCTTTTTTCTGTAGTTTAGCCAAGGTCATAGAGGGACAAAGAAAGTGGATGTAGTGTATGGTACACAGCTATGATTTCTCCACAAGTTTGATGCAGTAGACCCGGGTTTGATTCCTGGCATCCGCTTTCGCAGAGAGTACCTCTTTTTTTTATTTAAAAAATGGTCCCCACTCTCCCGCGTGTTCGGTTCGATTTATCCAGCCAATGTAACCAGCATGGTATGGAGCAGTTCAAAGAAACGGTTCAAAATTGACAAAATAACATCAAGTAGATCTGGGCAGACTGAGACCCAACTTAAAATTCCACTTTTGTGTAGTTTAGCCAGCCTCGTATATGAACCAGAAATGTGGGTGTGGTGTATGGAACACTGCTACCATAAATGGCAGTCGACATAATTTCCAATTTATGTAGCAGATCTGGGTTCGAATCCGGGTGCCCGCATAATAAGACAAACCTCTTGTTTTTTTTGGGGGGAGAGGGGTTCTCACTCTCCACTCTTTCTGCTGAGCACCCCATTATCAACACTTTTCAGTAGGCTATGTATGTGTGTGGGGTGTGTGTGTGTGTGGGGGGGGGGGCTCTTCGATGTGAGCAGGTCTCGAGATTAGATTTGGAATCAGACAAAATAATTTAAAGTGCGAGGGCAGACTCGAACTCAGCATAATTCGATGTTTCTCTATGTAGTCTAGCCAAGTTCGTAGATAGGGAACGTGGGTGTGGTGTAATGGAGCATAGCTGCTGTGATTGAGCTGGCAGTCGATATACGCATCGGACCTGGGTTTGATTCCTGGCACCTGCATAATTTGAAAGTCTTCGAATTTTTTTCTCTTTTCTTTTTATGGTTCCCCCTCTCTTCTACTCCCTTTGTTCGATTTATCTATCAAGCCAATTCAACCAATCCTCTCGAGCTGGCTATGGAGAGACTCTATGTTCAAGAAAGGCTTGAAATTCATGGTCAAAATAATTTGGACGGCAGAAGACTTGGAATAATTTAGGCTTTCATGCATGCCTTACCCAAGTTCGTAGATAGGCAGAGAGAGTGGGTGTGGTGTATGGAACGCAGCTGCTGTGGCTAAAGCCCTACCCACTTTGTGTAGCAGACCGGGGTTCGATTTCTGGCGCGCGCATTCCCGTGGAGAATTTTGACTTTTTGGCCCCTTGTTCTGTTCAACTTTTTTTTGTCCAGCCACATTCAGTTCAACAGATGGAAGAGCCAGCACTCTTCGATGATGTGGTATGAGATTTTAAGGGACTGTTGAAATTCAAGCAGGATTTCGGGATTTAGAGGGCAAACTAGGTTCGGAATAATTCGGGCTTTCAGACAAAATAATTTGGAGTGTGAGGCAGACTCGTACTTACCCGGTATAATTCTTGTGTAACTTAGCCAACCTCGAGAGAAAGCAGGTGTGTATGGAACATAGCTGCTGTGATTAAGGCCCTACTCGCTTCGGTGTAGTAGACCCGGGTTCGATTCCCGGCACCCGCATTTGCAAAAAGGACCCCTTTTTTTGTTTTGGGCTGCCCTCTGTTCCCAGCCAATTCAACCAAGATTTTCCAGGAGGTTATGGAGGTGCGCCTCCATCGGATGCTGGAGGATGTTTGAGAGAGCGTTCAAATGGAACTGGAATTCAAGTTGGACGAAATAATTTGGATTGGGAGGGTGGATTTCAACTTGGAATAACATTCCCATTTTCTGTGTATGCCTTCATCAGGTTCGTGGAGAGAGGAGAAAAGTGGGTGTGGTGTATGGTACACAGCTGTCATGATTGCACATGTAACAAATCAATTGATGTAGCAGACTTGGGTTCGAATCCCGGCACCCGCATATCTAAAGTGCATTGTTTTTTTCTTTCTTTTCTTCTTTTTGCTGCACTCTGTTCACCCATTTTTCCCGCATTAAATCAATAATTTCAGCACGCTATGTTCAAGAATCGGTGGAAATTCATGGACAAGATATTTTGGATCATGAGATTCAGACTCGGACTCTGCAGAATTACGGTTTTTTTTGAATGGGATAGCCAAGTTCGTAGATAGGTAGAGAAAGCGGGTGTGGTGTATGGAACACTGCTACTGTAAATGGCCCAGATTGATACAGGTTCCAATTTATGTAGCTGACCTGGGTTCGAATCCCGGCACCTGCATAGCCAGAAAAATTCCCTCTTTTTTGTTTGGGGGGAGGGGGGTTCCCACTCTCCACTCTTTAGCATCCCATTATCAACACTTTTCAGCAGGTCTCGAAATTGGATTTGGAATCAGACAAAGTAATTTGTATTGCAAGGGCGGACTCGGACTCAGCATAATTCCGTTTTTTGTATGCCTTACCCCAGTTCGTAAATAGGTGGAGAAAGCGGGTGTGGTGTATGGAACACAGCCGCCATTCATGTTGTATGGCCACTAGATTGATGCAGCAGATCCGGGTTCGATTCCTGGCACCCGCATTCTATTATTGCCTGCTTCTTTTTTCTCTCTCTTGCTTCCCTGCTCTCTGTTCACAGCCAATTCAACCAAGATTTTACAGCAGGCTACGGGGGGCTCTTCGATGTTGTGATGTGAGCAGGTCTCGAGATTGGGTTTGGAATCGGACAAAATAATTTGGAGTGTGAGGCAGACTTCAACTCGGAATAATACTCCCACTTTCTGTGTATGTCTTACCCAAGTTCGTAGATAGGCAGAGAGAGTGGGTGTGGTGTATGGTACATGGCTGCCATTAATATTGTAGTTCCATTGGATTGATGCAGGAAATCCGGGTTCGACTCCCGGCACCCGCATACCCAGAAAAATTCCTTCTTTTTGTTTGGGGGGGAGGGGGGTTCTCACTCTCCTCTCTTTCTGCTCAGCAGCCCATTATCAACATTTTTCAGGAGGCTACGGGAGGCTCTTCAATGTTGTGATGTGAGCAGGTCTTGAAATTAGATTTGGAATCAGACAAAATAATTTGGAGTGCGAGGGAGACGCAGACTCGGAATGATTCGGTCTTTTCTTATGTAGTCTAGCCAAGTTCATAAATGGATAGGAAAGCGGGTGTGGTGTATGGTACGCAGCTGTCACTGGTACTAACTAGCAGCTAAATGTGATGCAGCAGACCCGGGTTCGACTCCCGGCACCCGTATATATTTGTAGCTTGTGTATAACCTTTTTTCCCCTCCTTTTGTCTTTTTGCTCCCTGCCCTCTGGTCAGCAGCCAATTCAGTCTATGGTTGTGGAAGATGGTTCTTGGATGTGGTGACATGTCATGTTCTAGACGGCGTTGAAATTGGATTTGGAATTGAGCAAAATAATTTGGATTGTGAGGCAGACACAGATTCGGAATAATTCGGGCTTTTCTTATGTAGTATAGCCAGGTTCATAAACAGGTAAGGAAAGCGGGTGTGGTGTATGGTATGCAGCTGTAATCATTGACCAGTAACATCCTTAGTCAATGCAGCAGATCCGGGTTCGAATCCCGGCACCCGCATTGCCACTTTCTTGCCTTCTTATCAAACCGTACACATTTTTTTCTGGCCTTGGAGCTTGGCGGGATGCAGAGAATTTCTGATACTTGATACTTTGATACTTGACGTGGGGAGATTGATTCTCTCAAGCGAAATAGGCGTGGGTGGATCAAGGCGCGGCGAGAAGACAAAGAACGTGCCCATTATCTGCTGTTCATCAATCCAACTGTCTACCAAAAGAAAAAAGAGTTTGAGAATATATGAGCCGGAAATAGCTTACAAGCCACCGAAGATCAAGGACGCGGAAAGGATCCGTTAGATGGTATGAATTAAAGACCATAGCGGGAGTATTCTCCATGTGAGTCGGATGCCCCAGATGGGTGATACTGATCGACTTGCATCTGTGCCTTGTCTGTGTGACAGGTGATTGTGACGTGACGCCCCACTGCTCGCTCGCTCATGTCTCGTGTGTATGGAGACAGGGAACGACTCGCCGCCTCTGCGCACAACAATCCTCGGCTCATTCCTCGGCCGGGCCGTCCCCGTAACTCCTCCCAGTCCCACATCGACATCCCCCGCGAGCTCTCCCCGTCCCGCCTCATCCCCACCCCAAACGCAAACGCACAACCCGCCTCACCGAATCCGTACTATGATGTGCAAGGCGGAGGCGGCCCGGGGAGGCGCACCGGGACGGAGTCACAGGGGCGGCCGCGCCGTCTCCAACGACAACCCGCCGTCCGCACCCCCGCGGGCCTGAGTCTGGGGCACATGCTCCGAAGGCGACGTAGGCGGGAACATCCCGCAGCAGCAGCAGGGCCACGCGGGGCCCGCGCCGATGGTGCCGCCGACGCCGGGTGGGCGCGCGCCGGCGCCGATGAGTGCGGCGATTGCGAGTGGGCTTGTGCTGCCAATGGGAACACCAACGCAAAACAATACGAATGCCAATACAGGCGGTGGAAACGGCCCCTCGCACCGCATCCGCCTCGTCCCGCACCTCGACTCCCGCAGGCCCTCCGCTTCGACGCCATCTCGCGCGACCTCCGCGCAGGTGAGCCCGCCCTGCGCATCGGGCGCTTCACGGACAGGTCGGGTCTGGGCTCGCGGCGGTGAATGCGCTGAGCACGAACAAGATTGCCTTCAAGAGCAAGGTTGTGAGTCGCGCGCATGCGGAGGTGTGGATCGAGGATCCTGGTACGGAGGGGGGTACCCAAGTTCTTCATACGGGACACGAAGAGCAGTAGCGGGACGTTTCTGAACCATGTAAGGCTTAGTGCGGCGAATACGGAGAGGTACGTGTCTTTCCGCGAACGGAGGGGATTGTGCTGATTTTCTTTCCTATTTCTTTCTTCTATTACTTGACTTCGTGGGCGCTCTCCTCATCCCTCCTCCCGTTCCACTCTATCCCTCACTTCGCGATCCCCCAACTCTGTGGACGTCACACCATCTCGCCTTCCTCTTTCCTCCTTCCTCCTTCACCTCCCTTTTACCCTCCCTCATATTAATACCTCCAACAAAAGCCGCCCCCACCAAATCAAAGACGGCGACATCCTCCAGCTCGGCGTCGACTACCAGGGCGGTGCCGAGGACATCTACAAGAGCGTCAAGATCCGCGTCGAGCTGGGGCGGGAGTGGCAGGCGGGGGTTAATGCGTTCAAGTGCGTTTTTTTTCCGTCTGTCCTTTGGATGTTGGCGGCGGAGGCTTTTTATTTTATTTTTGGGACGAGAGATGAGGTGGGGTTTGGCGACGCCGATCCTCCATCCTCGATGCTCGAGGTGCGGGTGCGGGAGTCATAGTGTTGCGTCGGCTCCGGCTTGACGTGGTGGCTTCCTATTTGGCACCGTCGGCTCGCATGGCTGGCGCGCGCGACTTGCATTGCCTTACTTGGCTTTTGCTTTCCTTTCTTCATTTCTTTCCGGGGGCGTCTGGCGTCTATGACGTCGTTGATGTCCACACTTTCGACCCGGTATCGGCGCGTCCAATGAGCGGTCGACAGGACCTTCGCACTTGGGTCGCTCGTCGCTCGCTGTGGCGGGTCGGTGTCGGTGTCGACTGCCGGTGATAATGACGCTCTGGTGTCGGTGGGCGCTCCGTGTCTTGTCTGTGCACGCCTTCGCCTTCGACCCGTCCTTCATCGACGCGGGACGGAGTCCTAGTGTGACGAGCTGGCGAGCGGGACTCCCGTGCAAAGCGTTACGGGCGAGTCGGTGCGTCACTGGACGCGGGGGTCATCCCTCGAGGCGTCTTGCGCCGTGCCTGATGTGTGGCGTCGATGTCGGTGTCGACTGCCGGTGGCACCCCTCCGCCGCGCGTGGTCTAGTGGGATCGCGGTGCCGGCGCGATCTCTGTTTTTGTATTTTTATTTTTCTTCATTTCCTTTCCGGCGGCGTCTGGCGTGTATGACGTCGGTCGTTGATGTGTGTGCACGCCTTGGCGTTCGACCCGTCCTTCGTCCACGAGCGGGCGGCGGTCGTCGGGATGTGCTGGTGCACGAGTCCCGGCGTGACGATCTGGTCACTTCGCGCTTGGATCGCCTGTCGTGTCTCGCGCGAGCGTTGTTTGGCTTCCCTCCTCCCCTCCTTTCCCGTCTTTTCCTTTTACCTTCTCTCCTCCAGATACTTTCGCTGACCCTCTTACCTTTCGCAGCACGACCGCCCTCAAGAACCTCAAGTCGCTCGCCATCGCGCCTCGCCGTCCGCGCCGGCTGCGTCTGGGGGTGAGTCTCGTTTCATGTCATTTCTTCTTCCTATTACCGTATTTCTGGCTTTGCTATTATGCTCGCGCTCGTCCTTCTCTTTCGCGTGCCCGCGCTCGCGCTCGCTTATATCCACTTTTTATTCTATTTTATTTTTATTTTGTGACAAGGTACTAACGAAGCGCGGACAGGTGTCGCAAGCGCAGGCCCGAGGAGGAAGGGCAGCACGGGGATGGGCATTCCGGATTGTTGTATTTGTGAGTTTCCCTCCGTACACACGCATATATTCCCTTCCATACGTATACATCCATCCATCTATCCGTCTTGGCTCATTCATCCACTCTGGTGTATATGTGCCGTCTTGCATCGCTCCTCATTTCCCACCCTTCCCCTCCCCTCCCCTCCGCTCTTCCTTTATACCCAACTCACACTGACGCACCCCCACACAGGCCTCTTCCCAGTATCCATCCGCCAAGCGCTCTTCATCGCGCCCTGCTCGCACGCGTTCCACTACAAGTGTCTGCGCCCGCTGTTGGAGACGCACCATCCGGGGTTTAGGTACGTTGTTTTGTTATTTGGGATTCGATTCTGTCGATGTTTTTCTTTTCTTCTCTCTTTCGTCTGGGCGGGCGGAGTGGAGAGGGGAGGATGCGGGGCCGCAGGACGTGTACGGCGAGGACTCCGCTGTGCGTTGCATGTGG